CCTGTGTAGTAGCGTGGCCGAGCCCAGTATAGTCGGCGGGTACAGAGAGCAGCTGTCTCCTGTACCCGGCCGGACTAACAGGAAGTGCACACAGTGTGTGCACTTCCTGTTAGTCCGGGTACAGGAGACAGCTGCTCTCTGTACCCGCCGACTATACTGGGCTCGGCCACGCTACAGTGAGGGAGTGACAGGAGGGAGCGCTGAGCGCTGCCCTCCTGTCAGCCCCTCTCCTCAGGCTGCGCCCGGGCGGTGCGGTCCGCCCTCATGGACGCACCGCCCGGGCAAAGCTGCAGCCGCCTGAGGCTCTTTACAGAGCGCTCGGGCGGCTGCAGCATGAGCGGGGCCGGCGCTCCTGGCGGCGCCCCCTCCCAAGGGGCGCCCTAGGCGGCTGCCTAGTCCGCCTTACAGGTAGCGCCGGCCCTGCTTCTACCCTTCATCAAGTCTAGGCTGATGTTTGGGGAATACTCAGCCGGAGTATAGGGAATCCATTACAGAACCTAAGAGGATAAATATCACAGGAGGATAGGGTATTTGCTTTACATTTATGAAAGCATACCAGCAACTTTTAATTACAGATACCTTAATTCAGTTAGGAAGCTATATATATATATATATATATGTATGTACATTGAACAAAATTATAAACGCAACACTTTTGTTTTTGCCCCCATTTTTCATGAGCTGAACTCAAAGATCTAAGACTTTTTCTATGTACACAAAAGGCCTATTTCTCTCAAATATTGTTCAAAAATCTGTCTAAATCTGTGTTAGTGAGCACTTCTCCTTTGCTGAGATAGCACATCCACCTCACAGGTGTAGCACATCAAATGCTGATTAGACAGCATGATTATTGCACAGGTGTGCCTTAGGCTGGCCACAATAAAAGGCCACTCTAAAATGTGCAGTTTTACTGTATTAAGGGGTCCGAAACCCAGTCTGTATCTGGTGTGACCACCATTTACCTCACGCAGTGCAACATATCTCCTTAACATAGAGTTGATCAGGTTGTTGATTGTGGAATGTTGGTCCACTCCTCTTCAATGGCTGTGCGAAGTTGCTGGATATTGGCAGGACCTGAAACACGCTGTCGTATACACCAATCCCAAACATGCTCAATGAGTGACTTGTCTGGTGAGTATGCTGGCCATGCAAGAACTAGGATGTTTTCTGCTTTCAGGAATTGTGTACAGATCCTTGCAACATTGGGCCGTGCATTATAATGCTGCAACATGAGGTGATGGTCGTGGATGAATGGCACAACAATGGGCCTCAGGATCTCATCACGGTATCTCTGTACAGTCAAAATGCAATCAATAAAATGCACCTGTGTTAGTTGTCAATAACATACTCCTGCCCATACCATAACCCCACCTCCACCATGGGCCACTCGATCCACAATGTTGACATCAGCAAACTGCTCACCCACACAACGCCATACACGCTGTCTGCCATCTGCCCTGTACAGTGAAAACCGTGATTCAGCCATGAAGAGAACACCTCTCCAAAGGGCCAGATGCCATTTGCCCACTCAAGTCAACTATGACGAACTGCAGTCAGGTCGAGACCCCGATGAGGACGACGAGCATGCAGATGAGCTTCCCTGAGATGGTTTCTGACAGTTTGTGCAGAAATTCTTTGGTTATGCAAACCGATTGTTGTAGCAGCTATCCAGGTGGCTGGTCTCAGACAATCTTATAGGTGAAGATGCTGGATGTAGAAGTCCTGGGCTGGTGTGGTCTGCATTTGTGAGGCCGATTGGATGTAATGTCAAATTATCAGAAATACCTTTGGAGACGGCTTATAATAGAGAAATGAACATTCAATTAACGGGCAACAGCTCTGGTGGACATTCCTGCAGTCAGCATGCCAATTGCACACTCCCTCAAAATTTGTGACATCTGTGGCATTGTGCTGTGTGATAAAACTGAACATTTTAGAGTGGCCTTTTATTGTGGCCAGCCTAAGGCACACCTGTGCAATAATCATGCTGTCTAATCAGCATCTTGATATGCCACACCTGTGATGTGGATGGATTATCTCGGCAAAGGAGAAGTGCTCACTAACACAGATTTAGACAGGTTTGTGAACAATATTTGAGATAAATAGGCCTTTTGTGTAAATAGAAAAAGTCTTAGATCTTTGAGTTCAGCTCATGAAAAATGGGGGCAAAAACAAGTGCTGCATTTATAAAAAAAATTTCAGTGTATATATATATATATATATGTATATATATATATATAATTTATTTATTGCATTATGAGCACTTGCAGACATATTTCTACATATTTTACACTCTTCAAACATTTGTTAGATTTAGCATTCCAATACATGCCCGTGGTTTTCTGATAAACAAATTAGCAACTGTCTAACCATGTTAAACCTGTCCATACAGTGTAGCCAATACATTCTCACATCAATATTATTCCTTACATGTATGTCATTTACATTTATTTCTGAGCCTGAACAAAAATTAATTCAACCATTAGTTTGACCCTATTACGGTTTGACCCTATTACTATGTTTGGTAAAAATGAAAAGAACCAAATGTAGCAAATCAGTAAATCTATGTAGTTTCTAAGTGGGCAGATTGCTCACAATTAATGTAATATTTAGATTTCTAATATGTAGTTATTTTTCTATTTAGACAATTAGATACCTTTCTTCCATTTTTTTTTGTAAGCTTTTCATGTTTAATGGTTCCCTGCCGAGATCTGACACATAAACACAACCTTCTGTGCCCGTCCGTTTGTTATTGTACATGTTTCAGGAATTTAATTTGCTTTAAAAGTAATCTGAAAACTCGTTGTTGATTTTCTTTTCTAAAATAACTGGACTCAAATCTTGTTTCAGTCCTGAGTTTTAAAATGTTTGTAGGAACTTAATATTAGCTGGTAGGTTAAAAAATCTGTCTTTAAATTTCACATTTGATTGTTTGTCTAAATTCTACTCTAAGTGGTGATACTTCTACATGGCCTATGACATACACTTACATACTTGCTGTACACACAGGGGCATAATTAGCCACACACACACACACACGCATGTATAATTAACCTGACATTTAAAGGGATACTATAGCGCCAGAAATACAAAACTGTATTCCTTGCACTAACGCTCTCTCTGACTACCCCCTTCCTCATCCCCTTCCTCCTCCTGCCACCCACAGTGAATAAATGGTTAAAACATATTTAATTACTTTCGTGCCCCCAGCTCTGGTGTCGCATGGTGCTGGGTCGCGGCTCTGCCTCCTCTGGCGTCACTCGATGAGTGGGTGCTATGTGCATGCCTGGTGAATGCTGCATGCGTATTAGACCTCACCATATGAAAGCATTGATTTAGTTCAATCAATGCTTTTCTATGGGGAAATAGCTGACGCTGGAGGTGGGTTTGCAGCACTGCAAACCCACCTCCAGCGACATCTCCATAATCAATGACCATACCGACATGTATTACCAGCATGTGTTACACAATCTGTTTCCTTACTGTAGGGCTTAGGCAAGATTTTTTCTGTACAGGGCACCTAGTTTTGGGTAAAGTTTTGAAGAAATTCGTTCACTGTGAAGGCCAAAGAATAAATTGGTACTCTTATGTGAGATTGCCATATTTAAGGGTACCAAAGTAGGGATTGGGGATCTGTTGTGTTTAGTAGATAGCTCTCTTATTAGGTATTCATAAATATGGTAATCCCACATAAGGGTACCAAATTAGGAATCTATCTACTAAGTAGTTACCTAATTTGGTATACTTAAATATTGTCAACCCCACATAAAGGTACCAAATTATGGAGCTTTTCCCTAATTTTGATATTTTGGCTACTTAGTAGATAGCTCCATAATTTCCTATTCTTATGTGGGATTGCCATGTTTAAGGGTAGCAAATAAGATATTATATACTAAGCAGTATAATCCCACATATGGGTACCACCTTTATTTAGAGAGCTATCTACTAAAGAGCTGAAAGATCAAAATTGAGAAAATGACTTCTTAATCTTGGTCATTTAGCTGTTTAGTGTACCTCCATCATTTGATACCCTGACGTGGCATTGTCATATTGAAGAACACCACATTAGGGAATTATCTACTAATAAACACAGCTCCATCCCTAATTTACTATCTTTCAAAATGGCAATCCCATCTAAGGGTACCAAATTAGGGCACTATCTACTGAATAGCTGAAAGACCTAAATCAAGAAAAGCCTGTTTCTTAATTTTGATCTTTCAGTTATGTGGGTTTGCCATATTTAAAAGGACAGTAAAGTCACCAAAACAACCTTAGCTTAATGAAGCAGTTTTGGTGTATAGATCATGCCCCTGCAGTCTCACTGCTCAATTCTCTGCCATTTAGGAGTTAAATCACTTGGTTTATTCAGCCCAAGTCACACCTCCCTGCATGTGACTTACACGACCTTCTTAAACATTTCTTGAAAAAGAACCTTGATCATTTAGGTTCCTGCATTGCACAGTCTGTCTAATCTAGAATTTATCCTCCCTTGCTCTGTTAATAGCCTTAGTAATCAGTGTGACATCTTTACTGCACCTGCTACAAAGTGATCTTTGTGTGTTAAGTGTAATGTTCTAACTCTACACAGATGTATGTGATGAAGAATACTAAGTGAAGCACCACAAATTGACGTACATTACATACATTTATATACAAGGGAATGATGGGTGGCTACTAATATTGCAGACTTCACAGAAGAGTCATATGTAGAACAGTGTGTACCATAGACAGAAAAAGATAAAGCTGTGTGTGGTAGTGACAGGGCAAGGTAAAAATGGAATATATCCAGTCGTCAATTTTTCCTGTTGTACTTTTTACAACACTGCATTTACCTGCATTGAAACCTGCATCGTGCCTATGCTAAGCTGGTGTTTGTGACTAGTTTGTTGCACTGTGTCTACAGTAGAGGTTTATGGACCTGTTGATAACAGAAATAAATGCATTTTAAGATAGCAGAGACAGCCTACACATAATGTGACCCATTGTACAACTTCTAAGATATGTTTATCTTAGAAGTTCATTGTCGTGTAATAAAGATAAAGGAACTCTATAACGATTTGCAAATAATAAAGTCCAAATGTTGAAAACTAGACATTAATATCATAAATACATAAATTACTTATAATGCTGGTTATCTCCAACCCAAAGATTTGCCCAAGATATTAATGACTTGACCTGAGATAATCTGATATACATGCAGAATTGTCTCTCCTGCATATCTGACATTACTAATTTGGAAGTAGGACTTTTTGCATTAGGGATATTAGCATAGCAGGCCAACCTAGTGGCACTGCGGGAACCCATGCGACTGTGCAAGTGGACTCCTGGCTCCACAACTACTACAGCACGTTGTAGAGGTTTTGCTGCCAAGACTGATGTATCCAGTTACATGGCGGTATATAGATAACACAGTAACGCCTATTTCGCTCCAAAGCATCAGCTGCAAGTCACCAGCCAGCATTGTAGACCTGTACTCTGAAATTTAATTATATAATTTTTTTCTGTACTTCATGGTGGAACAAGAAAGAGCAATTCAGAAGTAGGAACATGATTCACACTCAATGTTACTATAGCACTCAGCAGGCATCTTTAAGTTCTCCCATAAGAGAGTATCTCCAATTCAGTTGTGTTACAGAAACAAGATGCCTGGTTGGTTCCAAACGTTAGATCCAGACCTTAACAGGCTACTGCATCAGTCCCTTCTATTGGCCATAAGGGAACTCCAGGAGCTACTGCAGCTACCTAGGACTTTGTTCTCCAATGTTATTTCACAATCGCTAGCCACCACTGGATGGAGTATCTCCCCAGCCTTATACCCAAACACTAGGCAAGGCTTAGTGCAGGAACATGATAACTCACTTATTAAACAACAGTCTGGAAAGTTATATTCACTGATTACCTAAGCATAAAAACCACCTGTCTAATATCGTGTAGATCCCCCAAAAAGCTCTGATGCATCGAGCCATAGACTCCACAAGACTTCTGAACGTGTCGTGTTATCTGGCATCAAACCATTTGCAGTAGATCTTTCAAGTCCTGCAAGTCGCAAGGTGGGGCCTCCATGGATCAGATTTGTTGTTCCAGCACATCCCACAGATGCTCAATCTGGGTGTTTTGGAAGCCAGTGCAACAAGTCAGGAGTGTACTCCTGATGATCCCGGCATAGCGGGTGAAAGGCGTGTCAATAAGTATACATACATTTCAAAATATGAGATTGTAGCCGTATTAGTCCAGTGATATAGATGTAAAAAACAGAAAAAAATCTTATCTTGTAATACCATATTACAAGATAAGAATTGTATCTGTTTTTTGCAAAATAGGAGATATTTATCTATCTAAAAATACCCATTTTGAGGGATTTGGTTAGAGAAATAAACCAATTTTAAGTGATGAAATAAAAGTAATGTTTTAAATTAATTACCATTTCATTATTTTTTTAATATCCAATTTAAGGGGACTATTGTGAAAACTTATTGCAGTGACTTTATGACTTACTTAATGAAGCAAGAATAGATGCAAACCAAAATACGTCACCAAGTAGTGGTGGAATAAAAAGAATGCTTCCCATCGTTTGTCCAAACTTTTCCTGGAGGGGATCCATCATTGTTACATATTTTTTGGACCTCATTGGCTTTACAAAGAAAAGTCCACCTAAAAATAAATACAGAAGTTAAGTACACATTTACTGAAAACTGAACATGTTACTTCACAGCTTTGTGTTTGTATATGCTATATAGATAGATAAGTTCTGTTTAGTTTCCATACCCAAATATGCACTTACCTATGCTGGGCAACTGGATGGAATGATAAATTCTATGGATCTCAGGCGGACTTCCCCAGTTCTTTAGATGTCTACATCTCTGTGCCCCAAACATGCTTTAATTGACTCTACTTATTATTTTGTATTTATTGTGGATTTATGCATTTTCAAGTACGTCTAGTTTACCTTGTTTTGATACATGCTTTTTGTGTAACCTCCTCACCCCATTTAATGGTTATGGCACACCTATCTTGATATTAGACTTGTACATTCGATTTCAAACTAATTGCAATTCGGCTGTATGCTGGGTGAATGGGCCGTCATCTGGATTCTGTAACTCCAAACCGGCATGTGGACAAATTATACAGCAACCAAAACGGAAAATGGACAAGCCATTTCACTTGTTCCATGATTCAGAGTTCCATTCATGGGGCCAATAAAAAAAAGATGATTGATGGGGAAAAAATATGATTGAATGTTGTAGGACAGCCAGTAATATTGATAGAATTGACCAACAGAAGGAAAAAAGGAGTAGCAGTAAAAAAAATAAATCTATAAATAAATATTTGTGTCATATAGTTAATATATAAATATATATATTTTTTTAAAATATTCCTTTTTTTCTGTCTATTCATAATTACTCACTAGATCTGTAACGTAAATGAAGCAAAAATGCATCTACCAGTGTACTGCAAAAAATATTTAGCAGTACACTGAATAGTCAATTTTTACACTTATAGCAGACGCCGGGTAACCTGGCTGGCTACCTCCGCTAATTCCCTTCCTTCAGCCGTTCAGAAAGCATTTCAGAATATCAAGAGACCCTTTTCCTCCCCCCTTCCCCAAGTAACTGGACGACACACAGTTCTGGAGGTACAACTCAATTTTATTGGGCCACACTCGGCTTTTATGCATGACTCTGTGCAAAGGGTTTTCATCTCAAGTCAACGGGGGTCATATCCCAGGAGCCTCTGTACCCGGGAGCCGAAGTGCGGGAAAGGGGTCATTGTCCCTTTGTCTCCCAGGTACAGAAAGCCCACCACACATATAAGAGGTCTCTCACCCCAGCAGACAGGGGTCTTCATCCCAGGATCCTCAGTGTTTGGAAGTCAAGCCAAGGAGTTGTCTGACTGGATGTGAGCAACCATTCGCTCATAGATGTGGAACTGTCGTATTTTGTCAAGTAACTGGGACAGGGAAGGGTAGTCTGAGGATTTCAATTTTCGAGCTGTAAGGTTTCATGCAGCTAGTAGAACCAAAGCAGTGATTTGTTTCTGGCCATAGGTCAGGGATGCAGGCAGTGGTGTATCCTGGTTTTGTGTTGCCCTATGCACCCCCACCCAACCCTTCCTCCTGCCCCGCATTCTAAATACACACACACATTCACTGACAGAAACACGCACTCACTTACAGACACACACACTCACTAACACACACACACTTACTAACAGACTCACTCACTAACAGACAAACACACACTCACTAACAGACACACTCACTAACACACACACACACACACACTCACTAACAGACTCACTCACTAACAGACAAACACACAGACACAGACACACACACACACACTCACTGACAGACAAACACACACTCACTAACAGACACACACAGACACAGACACACACTAACAGACACACACACACACTAACAGGCCAACACACTCACACTCACTAACAGGCACACACATACTCACAGACACACACAACAGACACACACACACTAACAGACACACACTCACTCACTAACAGACACACACACACTCACTAACAGACTCACTCACTAACAGACAAACACACACTCACTAACAGACACACACTCACTCACTAACAGACACACACACTCACTAACAGACACACACACTCACTCACTAACAGACACACACTCACTCACTAACAGACACACACAGACACACACACACTCACTCACAGACACACACACTCACTCACTAATGGACACACACACTCACACACACTAACAGGCAAACAGACACACACACACTCACAGACACACACACACTAATGGACACACACACTAACAGACACACAAACACACACACACAAAAACACTAACAGACAGACACCCACTAACAGACAGACACCCACTAACAGACACACACACACACACACACACACACACTAGCATACACACACACTCACATTAACACACTCACTTTTTTTTTAAATGTAACCCCCCCAGCCTCCTTACCTTTAGGAATGCTGGGGGGGGGGTCTCCCTCTCCCTGGGGCTGCTGGAGGAAAGTGCTCCCTCGCCAGCCGCCCGCCCGTCTGGCTTGTCAGTTAGCCACAAGGCTAACAAGACATTTGCCCTCGGCATTTGGGGGATGGCTTTTTTTGCCGCCCCCTGGAAAATGCCGCCCAAGGCAAATGCCTTGTTTGCCTCGCAGCTAAAATGTCCCTGGATCCAGGGAGCAGCAGCGGTAGGTGCCGTTAATACGAAAGTAGGGATGTCCAGTGTGCCAAGGACAGAATGTACTATAGTCCAGAAGGGCTGAATGCCCCCACAGGACCACCACAATTGTATGAGTGTGCCTTTATCCAAAGCACACCTCCAGCATGTCAGGGATGAATTGGGGAACATACGCTGGAGTCTCTGAGGGGTCATGTACCAGCAATACAAGAGTTTTCTATGGGCCTCAATATGTGAGAAGCATTTCGTCCATCTAGATAAGTCACTGAGGACATGGAGCCAGTCTGCATCTGTCAAGGGCCTACCTACCTGTCTGGTTCCCTTAGTGATGGAAAAGAGCGTAGACAGGAATTCCCCGTGCGAGACTCTGGCTGTAGGGGTGCCATATAAGGCCATGATGCCTTGTATTGTTTCTTCTGGAAAATTTAATTTAGACAGTACTTTGGTCATATACGCCCAGTTCAGTCGGTCGAAGGCCTTTTCTGCATCTAATGCAAGATAAAGGCCCTCAGGGTTGACAAGATGTTAAGTGTTTTTCTGGTATTGTCTGACCCCTGGCAGTCACAATGGTGGTTAACAATAGCATGTGGTTCTAATGTTTTTTTTCGTTTACCATTTTTTAGGAAGGCAATCCTGGAGGCGACAGACCTGTCCTTTAATTGTGATGCCAATTTGGCGCCCGTCCTGTTGCCATTGTCAAAAAAATTGTATTCAGACTTGAAGAGTAAATATATTGTTTTGACTAGCTCCATATCTTTTAGTTGAGCCTGGAGATGGTGCAATTTAGTGTACGTGGTTGAGTTAGGCTCGTGTTTATTAGAACGTGTTATCTTAGTAATCTCTGCTATAAGCGAGTTATATGTGGCAAGTCTTAATTTCTTGGCGTGGCTGGCATGCTTAATGAAGCTGCCTCGAATGAATGCTTTATGCACTAACCAGATCTGGTCAAAATGGGAGTCAATAATTGTGTTTTCACTGAAATAGTGTTGTTGGTCTGTAGAGATTTGGGAGACTACGGAGGGGTCAGTGAGAAAGGATTCATTGAACTTCCATGAACCTTTTCCTTTATTTGGGAAGTTTTCTCTTATTCTCAGGATAATTGGAGCATGGTCCAACCATGAGATGAGTCCAATGGTGGACTCCTCGATTGCGGGCAACGAGGTGGCGGGAATAAGGAAGCAGTCATTTCGTGAGTAACTGTTGTGTGCTGCTGTATGACAAGTAAAATCAATTTATTTTGGGTGCTGGATGCGCCATGGGTCTACAAAGTGACGTGAGGCTAATGTAGCACAGATTCATGCCGACAGGGTTGATCGTTGCCGTAGGGTACGAGAAGAGAGATCTGCAGAAGCAGATGAGTCTGCCATGCCATCTAACAAAAAATTTGTGTCGCCTCCAATAATTACCTCCCCATATTTATACATATCAGTTAAAGCTAGTACAGTAAGCAAAAAATCATGCTGATTCTGATTGGGGCTGTAAATGTTGACCATGGTATATGGATTTTTATTGAGAAGACACTGCAATATTAAGTATCGCCCTTTTTTATCACTAATTTTACCAAGCAATGAAAATTATGCATCCTTGCTTATCAAGGTGGAATTAAATTTAGGTCTGCTACTCCATCAACTGTCTCATAGTTAAGAGACCCTGTAATAACTTGTTGGGCAGCATATATGATAACGGTCAACAACTCCATTTGTGTGGGGATGCCTCTCGATACCTGGAGACCTGTATACAACACCCGACTGAGTGTAGCTTTTGGAGGTAACATACTCATAATAAAATAAAGGGGGTTAACAATAACTATATACAATGTTCCGTTTGCCATATGAGTATGGCATTAAGCTGCTAGAAAGCAAGGGACAGTAAGGGCTATAGAGGAAGCCTTGGGGGTAGTCTTAGGAAGTGAGAAGCGCTGAGATCTGTGGGATTTTAGAAAGATCGTCGGCTGTGTTGGAATCAGAAATGGACGTACGGGTGCTAAATTGGCCAACCGCGGCCTAAACCTTGGGTCAATGATGTTAGATTAACAGTGGGTGAATGATTCAATAAACAGGAACAATTAACCTAAGTGGTAATTTAGCTAGTTGGTAACAGGAACAGCACTGCACCACGACAGTCCACTCAGGTCTGGAAGGCTCTGTGGCCGGGTGATGTGTGTGGATCTGGGCATCTAGAGCCAGTCCTTAGGTAGAGATTTGGCGTGAGGGCCACAGAGGTATTCCTTGGGTCATCAAAGCGCAGCTGGATATTCCATTCTTGCAAGATCTTCTTCTCGTCTTCTGGGGTGAATATGGGTTTGTCCACCCCATTTCGTTTAACTAACAACTTGGCCGGGGAAACCCCATTTTGTATGGAATATTTGCGGCACACAGAGCTGTGGTAATGGGCGCAAAAGTGAGAAGAGAGGTTGATGTGGGTGTAGGGGTCAGGCCACGAGGTATTCAATCTGGCAGCTTGCATAACGCGGTCCTTGACCGTGAAGTAATGGACCCTAGTAATTATATCTCTTGTTGTATCAGGAGGGAGATGCTAAGGTTTGGGGAGGTCTAGGAGTAATTCTGAGACACTCAGTGTCGGAATGAGGACCTTAAACAGGTCTTGTACATACCAGGGCAGATCAACTTGTTTGACGGATTCAGAAACTCCCCTTATGCGGACGTTGTTCCTGTCCTCGTGGTCTGCTACTTTCTCTTCCAGAGATTTAAATTTTTGAGCTAGGGAGGAGTAGGCCTCAGCCATAGAGTTGTGAGCATCCATTAGCTTTTCAGTACGGTCTTCTAGGCGGGCCATGCGCTTCCCAATACTTTGGATGTCTGTTCTGATGTCGGAGGCCATTTGCTGAACGTCAGCCTTGAAGAAAGCTTTCAGCTCCTGCATAAGACGAAGGCAAGACGAATGGATCAGAGCATCTCTAAAACGGTAAGTCTTGAGGGGTGTTCCTGGTATGCAATGCATAGGCTAATGGGTCAGACCATCTCCAAAACAGTAAGTCTTGTGGGGTGTATGCAGTGGTTATTATTATCTACCAAAAGTGGTGCTAGTAAGGACAAACGGTGAATCGGCTGCAGGGTCATGGGTGAAAAAGGCTCATTGATGCACATGGGGAGCAAAGGCTAGCCCGTCTGATTCAATCACAGAGAAGAACTACTGTCTTAAGTTGCTGAAAAACGTAATGCTAGCCATGATCGAAAAATGTCAGAACACACAGTGCATCACAGTTTACTACGTATGGGGCTGCATAGCCGTACACCGGTCAGAGTGCCCATGATGACCCCTGTCCACCGCAAAAAGGGCCTTCAATGGTGATGTGAGCATCAGAACTGGACCGTGGACCAATGGAAGAGGATAGCCTGGTCTGATGACTTGTATGTTTTCTTTTAGATCAGGTGGATGACCAGGTACATGTGTGTTGTTTATCTGGGGAAGAGATGTCAGCAGCGTGCACTAGGGAAAGAAGGCAGCCTGGTGGAGGCAGTGTTATGCTCTGGGCAATTTGTAAACATGAATAAAATGTCTAATCAACATCATAGTTTTATTATCAATTTCAATAATATTTCCTAAACTATTTGTTATTATACTGCTATGTATTGGATATTTTTATCTTTCAGTAGCTTTTCTTCTATTTTTACTATTTGGAATCCTGACCAGATTGCTATTGGGTTGAGCATCCCACCCATCCACTATAGGTGCCCCATTTAAGGTGACCAAGGAAAATTGCCCAGAGCATAACACTCCATCAGCCTGCCATCTTCCCTTAGTGCAAGCTGCTGCCATCTCTTACCCAGATAAACAACGCACACGCACCTGGCCATCCACCTGATCTAAAAGAATATGTGATTCATTAGACCAGGCAACTTTCTTCCATAATTTGAGATCAGTCCCCAATTCCCATTTTTTTCTATGCATATTTGGAATCCAGACAAGATTCCTATCGGATTGAACTCTAAGTGCTGCTTTGGAGGTGACCATAGGAAAGCATAAATTGAGGAGAGTTTCTGGAAGCAGAGTAAGCAGTAAGTAATGCAGTTAGCATGTTAATCTCCCATGTTGAAATTAGTGTACAACCCACTGATATCGAGGTACTGTGGCGTAATGGTGGGCTTAACACAATATGGCCACATGGTGTAACTGAATCCCTGTATTTGTTTGCTAAGATGGGTGATTTAAAGTAGTCTTGTTAAATTTAAAACTGTATTTTTTGGTGTGTGTGCGCTCTTCCTTAATCTGGGTTTATTGTTGTAGCTGATTAGTGTAACTTCTCATTACTATGTCTGCATTTACCTACCAAGAGTATTACATATTCTTGTATATCTGTGCTTTACATATCCAATAATTAATATGTATTGAGGTTAATCTTTGAAACTACCCATCATATTATATTATTACCCATCATCATATCATGCTACTTTTATTGCTTTCATTATTGTAAAACCCAAATAAAAATGATATTAAAAATGTATATATTATACAACAACAAAAAATCCTCCAGTAATTTGCAAGTTGTTATATGCGGACAGCACAGTTAAAGTCATGAATGGATGTTGGCAAAAAAAAAAAAAGGTCACCACAATAAAATCTACACTGAAAGGGTTCAACTGTATGGACTAGATTACAATGTACCTAACTTGCTTCAATTTAACATAAGTGTTTGTTGATTCATGAAAAAAGATTAGATTGAAGAATATTAATTTGATGAGCGTTCCGAATGATACAGGTGGAACTGAGTTTGTTAATATTCCATCCGTATAATGTCAGGAATAAACCAAAAACTGTGAAGGAATAATGACAATTACCAAGATTTCATGCTTGAAATATCATTATGTTTCTGTTGCTCAAATTCATCTTGGTGAAATCCGATGGAGCCATACAGAGAACACACATTTGAGATTTATTTTTTTTCACTGTCTTATTCAAGTTCCTTGAATAAATCTAATTACCGGGATGGCCATTGCTTTCCGGGAAATGCAATAAAGTGTAATTTTGTTAGTCTTTGAAATAGGAAATATTACATTAAAATAAAGTGTAATATATGAATATATCTCCGCATGTCCCCGGTACTGAATGGGTGAAGATCAGAAATAGCCTAAGATAATTTCAAGAATGAATAAAGATGCAGGGAAGTTATTCACTAAACAATGAGTGGTGGTCATTGGTGAGCAAACAAAATGCCAAAAAGGAGAAATAGCTGAGTTGCACGATTTTCAAAATGTTTCTGTTTTCATGAAAAATGTACAGTTCCCCAAATGTTACCATTAACAACTATATAAATCAGGACATTGAATGCTGGCAAAAATACAATGGTACATTTTATGTCCTTTCCCATACAATCAGCCTAATACCAAGCCCTAAGTCCAACCCTGTACTAATGTGTTCTAAGAATCATTTTGTAACACCGAATCTTTGATTGAATCCAAAGAGTTTTACATGAACCTAAATTTATAAACTCCACATTTCCAGATCTTAAGCCATGCTGTATTAAACCTTCACCCCTCTGCATTAAAATCCTGCACCCACCGCATTACCCCTACACTATGCTTTATAATTAACTACAAATAAATAGAGATGTCGCAAACTGTCCGCCGAACTGTTCGCGAACTGTTCGCTGGCGAACAATAGCGTGTTCGCGTTGGGCGAACATATCCGATTTCCGCTCTGCCCCCTATACGTCATCATTGAGTAAACTTTGACCCGGAACCTCACAGTCAGCAGACACTTCCTGGGAGGGAGGGTCTGCTGCTGATTGGGTGGAATGTGTCTGCTGGCTGTGAGGTTCCGGGTCAAAGTTTAATCAATGATGACGTATAGGGGGCGGACCGGAAATCGGATATGTTCGCCCAACGCGAACACGCTATTGTTCGCCGGCGGACAGTTCGCGAACAGTTCGGCAGACAGTTCGTAACATCTCTACAAATAAAGTGCTTTTAAATGGCACTCGCAATAATTGTATAATATCAGGTATCATTTATCTCTCACTGTCACAAAATACTTGCAGCTGACAATGAAATTAGACATGGGGCTTTTTCAGGATCTTACTTGGAGCTCGAGACCCCGTCAGTCCCTGACAGTGGGGAGTCAGACAAATTGTCCAACTTGTCCATCACATTTCACTACAAACCTGAAAGCATGGTATAACTATTGGCTTTTTGTTGAGCTTTCTGATGAAGTGGTTGGTATGAAGCCATGCTTACCAATTATAAATGTTATTGCGAATCCAAGGGGTGCATGTACCCAGGCCAAGCCTCTTGAAGGAAGATACACGATTTCTGCGGTGCCATTGATATATGCACCTCCAACCCATGTAGCTGAATAAGAAAAAGTAAAGGACAGAATTCATCAGTCTAGTAAAATATAACGTAATATGTTAGTTGACGTTATACATACTTTGTGTTAAATGGTCGATAAAAAATTTTTTTGTCAAAATTAGTAGGATGTTTCCTCCTGTACAGAATGAGAAAATGGCCAACAGTGGCAGCTCCTGGTAATGATATTCTAGTGAATTCAAGTGTAGGCTAAATCTGCCCTACTGGACTCTTCTGCTAATGTCTCCAAATGGACCTTCTTAGTCTAGTAGAGCTAGCCTATGACACACGGGCAGACCGGGGCGGCCACATGTGATCGTGCCCGAACAGCGTGGACAAATAGATAGTAAACTTACCTCTTGCTGTATCTCCTTTCGCTCTCCTTGCTACACAGCTGGAAGTCACGCTGGCATTTCGATGGACACCGGCCGCTTCCACAAGCCGCGATTTAAAGTAACAGACACCAATTGTGACGCTGGTGACGTGGATGTGCGTGCATCATCACGTCCTTGACGTGCACGCACATTTTGGCATCACCAGGTTCCAGAAACCAATTGGAACTCTTCATAAGATATTTAAACTCACTTTACCAATTGTTTAATGCCCTGTCGTGGTTTCTATTTTGTGGTTAATCCGAGAGCGCGTTTATTTCTTATATTTTCTGGCATTTTGACCTTGGCTTATCTTTGACTATTCTTCCTTCTGATTGTCCTTGAGCTTTGGCTTTTCCTTACGTTTCTTCTGTATTCTGTATCCCTGATGGGGGCTTGTCTTGTACTATTCTTGGTGTGTTTAATCTGGCCATTCTAAGGGCCGGTAATGCGCTTGTCTCTAAACTGTACTTGTTTGGATGGACCTGTTCTTCATCATCTTACTCATCCCCAGGTAGAAGCTTGAAGGAGCAGGCTATGTGTGGCATACTAAATAGGTAACCTAGATTAACTCTAGATATATAGTGGTGATTTATGAATGTAAATACTCTCAACGTCTTTGGGCATCATTGACTACTGAAGGATTGAGAAAGGAGTTCCACCTTGTTAAAGAGGAGTAATTATAGATGAGGGGACATGCCATAGCATCTATAAACTCTACTTTCAACCATTATCATCCAAGCAATCTCATTGATATTGAACTGAATAAACAATATCTTGGTTTAACCAAATGTTCCTGGTTTCCAATATCAGTGATTCGTGCCCAGAATAAAGTAACTACATTTCTATCAGTTCATGGACTGTGGACTCTGCATGTTGTAATCATGGGCTCAAAGTGAGCATCAGCCAAGCACCAGCAAGGTCAGAGCTATACATATTGGGGTTCTGTAGCATTCAGAACAGTCAGAAAAGTCCTCAGTTATTAAATCAGTTAATATTCACAGAAAATTATTAACCAGAAATTCTAAGTAGCCTTTTCTGATTCCAGTAATAATGTCTCTGGTCGTAAAAAAAATTACCACATCTGGTAATAATAACACATTTTCAGAAAAATCGTCATTGAAAGTAAAGCTCCCTCTACAGTTGATATAGAATCGCCAGAGTCTTCCACTACCGGTTATACTGCGTGACCCTTTAATACTGTCACTACCGGTTATACTGCGTGACCCTTTAATACTGTCACTGCCAGTTATACTACCTGACCCTTTAATACTGCCATGATTGGTTATACTACATGACCGTGTAATACTTCCACTGACTTTAAAACTATCTGAGCCTGTGATACTACCATGGCCGGTAAAACGTCCTGTAATACTGCCACTGCCGGTAAAACTGAGACTAAAAGCACAGCAGCTAGTAAAACTTCCAGTGCTAGAAATTGCCATGGTCTTTACTGCTCTCCCTCCAAGTAATACTTCCACTGCTGGTAATACTGCCACTGGTGTTTATATTACCTGTCCTGGTAATACTACAACTGCCATTATACTACCACTGCAGTAAAACTGCTGGCAAAATCGCCTCTCCCGGCTCTACTACCACTGCAGTTAAACTGCTGGCAAAATCACCTCTCCCGGCACTACTACCACTGCCAGTAAAACTGCTGGCAAAATCGCCTCTCCCGGCACTACAGGGAGTGCAGAATTATTAGGCAAGTTGTATTTTTGAGGATTAATTTTATTATTGAACAACAACCATGTTCTCAATGAACCCAAAAAACTCATTAATATCAAAGCTGAATATTTTTGGAAGTAGTTTTTAGTTTGTTTTTAGTTATAGCTATGTTAGGGGGATATCTGTGTGTGCAGGTGACTATTACTGTGCATAATTATTAGGCAACTTAACAAAAAACAAATATATACCCATTTCAATTATTTATTATTACCAGTGAAACCAATATAACATCTCAACATTCACAAATATACATTTCTGACATTCAAAAACAAAACAAAAACAAATCAGTGACCAATATAGCCACCTTTCTTTGCAAGGACACTCAAAAGCCTGCCATCCATGGATTCTGTCAGTGTTTTGATCTGTTCACCATCAACATTGCGTGCAGCAGCAACCACAGCCTCCCAGACACTGTTCAGAGAGGTGTACTGTTTTCCCTCCTTGTAAATCTCACATTTGATGATGGACCACAGGTTCTCAATGGGGTTCAGATCAGGTGAACAAGGAGGCCATGTCATTAGATTTTCTTCTTTTATACCCTTTCTTGCCAGCCACGCTGTGGAGTACTTGGACGCGTGTGATGGAGCATTGTCCTGCATGAAAATCATGTTTTTCTTGAAGGATGCAGACTTCTTCCTGTACCACTGCTTGAAGAAGGTGTCTTCCAGGAACTGGCAGTAGGACTGGGAGTTGAGCTTGACTCCATCCTCAACCCGAAAAGGCCCCACAAGCTCATCTTTGATGATACCAGCCCAAACCAGTACTCCACCTCCACCTTGCTGGCGTCTGAGTCGGACTGGAGCTCTCTGCCCTTTACCAATCCAGCCACGGGCCCATCCATCTGGCCCATCAAGACTCACTCTCATTTCATCAGTCCATAAAACCTTAGAAAAATCAGTCTTGAGATATTTCTTGGCCCAGTCTTGACGTTTCAGCTTGTGTGTCTTGTTCAGTGGTGGTCGTCTTTCAGCCTTTCTTACCTTGGCCATGTCTCTGAGTATTGCACACCTTGTGCTTTTGGGCACTCCAGTGATGTTGCAGCTCTGAAATATGGCCAAACTGGTGGCAAGTGGCATCGTGGCAGCTGCACGCTTGACTTTTCTCAGTTCATGGGCAGTTATTTTGCGCCTTGGTTTTTCCACACGCTTCTTGCGACCCTCTTGACTATTTTGAATGAAACGCTTGATTGTTCGATGATCACGCTTCAGAAGCTTTGCAATTTTAAGAGTGCTGCATCCCTCTGCAAGATATCTCACTATTTTTTACTTTTCTGAGCCTGTCAAGTCCTTCTTTTGACCCATTTTGCCAAAGGAAAGGAAGTTGCCTAATAATTATGCACACCTGATATAGGGTGTTGATGTCATTAGACCACACCCCTTCTCATTACAGAGATGCACATCACCTAATATGCTTAATTGGTAGTAGGCTTTCGAGCCTATACAGCTTGGAGTAAGACAACATGCATAAAGAGGATGATGTGGTCAAAATACTCATTTGCCTAATAATTCTGCACTCCCTGTACTACCACTGCAGTAAAACTGCTGGCAAAATCGCCTCTCCCGGCACTACTACCACTGCAGTAAAACTGTTGGCAAAACTGCCTTTCCTGGTACTACTACCACTGCCATAAAACTGCTGGCAAAACTGCCTCTCCTGGCACTACTACCACTGCCAGTAAAACTGCTGGTAAAATGATTCAACTATCTACACCTCCTATTATATAACTTGTCAAGTAATTCATGTTAAGTAGGCATGTTAGTGTAATATAAATAATAATGATTCAACTATCTACACCTCCTATTATATAACTTGTCAAGTAATTCATGTTAAGTAGGCATGTTAGTGTAATATAAATAATATATATATATACATACTCTGTATATGCACTTACTGTACCACTCTCTACTGTAATGTAAATTGTAAAGTGCTAAGTATACTTACTGAACTATAACAATATAATATCCATACACTGTGTAACTAATGCACTTACTCTGCCCCCTCTACTGTAACTGGTAGTTTGCTAAGTGTAGCTGTTAAACATATTAATGATATTAATCTATGTATGTATGTATGTATCTATCTGTCTATCTATCTATCTATCTATCAAATAGTGTCTATCTATCTATCTACCTATCTATCTGTCACCCTGCCTGCATCTCTCTCTCTCTCTCTCTCTCTTTATATATAATTTTGATTTGATTGCAAAAACCTCATGGGTTTACTATATATTTATAAGTATAATTCCTGAATCAAACTGTGCTTGTGTTGAGAATGTGTAAGCCATAAACATTTGGTACTTCTTACCCTATATGCAACCTATTCATGAGCTGAAATATAACTCAATCTTGAAATGTCTCAATGTTCTTTTCAAACCAAGAATGAATCCCTTGCTATAGACATCATTACCGCAGTTTGTTCATTACAATGCAGTAAGAGTCATTTCAAAGCAAATCGAGCATTTAATACACAGCAGGGGGCAACACGAAAATAAAGCATGTTCTCTCTAATAGTTTGCCTTGTGAATGCAGAAAAGTTACCTGGGCTTAGTCAACAGAGCTTAACCCATCCTGTGCTGCAGATGCTTACGACTGCATGACTCGCAGGGTTAATTTAGGTTTCTTCCCTAGTTAGGAGTTTTAATAAAAATAAAAAAAACATTAAAATAAATAATCAAAAATCTTACCAGTTGTGGTGAAAAGTCCAACAAACACATTCAGATTTCTTCCACCTACAATGGCAATCTCCGTCTGTCTATTCTTCTGCTCATTCTTTTTTGCTTTCCAAGCTGCCCAAAGTCCAGTTGCTAAAGTCAAGGTATAAAAGACGATTACAGCTATTAAACCGGGGACATTGAGAGCCATTTTCAACAAGTGTCCCGAGATACGATTTGCTCCTAATCAACGTGGACTGGAATGAAATATCTCCAGATTAGAAAAGCTTTGCATCTTCACATGATATATATGGGGTCACCAAATATTTAAGAAGTGCTGGGTCAGTTCCTTTCCTGGACCTCCTGTACTCTTAGAAAACGTTTCTAGTCAGTATATATATGGGGTCACAATATGTTTAAGAAGTGCTGGGTCAGCTCCTTTCCTGGACCTCCTGTACTCTTAGAAAACTTTTCTTGTCTGTCCAACAACAACTTGAAAAATGGGAGGTGTTTGGCCATATTCCCAGTACTGTAGCTCGATTCAAATGGGATGTAGGGCAATCAGTTTGATCATTAGTACAGAATTATGTCGTACTGAGTAACATATAAGTGTAGACATTTGGACTTTTGTTTTTTTATAATTCTTTATTTTTGTAGTGCTTTGCAAATTTCACATATGAACAGAGCCATTGAACGGTATCATCAGTAAAATATCAATTAGTAGAGTACATCACATGTCTGATTCACTGCACTTTTTTACAATTACAATTTCAATATTATCAAGATGTATATTCATGTTTGTAAAACATAGAGTAGGGTAAATGATAGTAGATTGCTAGACACAAGCTAAACATGCTGAGAGAGGTTATTAAAACTTTAACAGCCCAAGTGGGTAACATATTCGAAGCTAGGGTGCAAGATTTGTATAAAACCACAGTTTTTGTGATGATGATCTTCTACACAGCGAGTGACCCTTAGTGGTAAGAGCAAAGGGGATCAGTGGCAAAGAGACTGCAACATAATATTAAGTAAATAAAACTCTTCAGGATAAGTTTACTACCAGGAGCTGCTCATGCTTTTCACCCCACACCATCTCTTGTGGCTTTGTGAGTCAGTCCAGGGATAAGGACGAGAAAGGGCCAGAGCAGAGTGTTGTCGCTGTTGGGGGGTATGCCGCTGTGTGTTATTGAAGTGCCCTATGTTTAAGAAGTGCTGGGTCAGCTCCTTTCCTGGACCTCCTGTACTCTTAGAAAAGTTTTTTGTCTGTCCAACAACAACTTGAAAAATGGGAGGTGTTTGGCCATATTCCCAGTACTGTAGCTCGATTCAAATCGGATGTAGGGCAATCAGTTTGATCATTAGTACAGAATTATGTCGTACTGAGTAACATATAAGTGTAGACATTTGTTACTCAGTACGACATAATTCTGTACTAATGGTCAACCTCATTGCCCTACATCAACATTAAATGTTTCATCTTGTTTTCCCTTTACCATTTGAATCGAGCTACAGTAGAAGAAAGGAGCAGACCCAGCACCTCTTAAACATATGGTGACCCCCATCTAAATACTTGGTGCTCCTATGAAGATGCAAGGCTTTTCTAATCTGGAGATATTTAATTCCAGTCCACGTTGATTAGGAGAAAATCGTATCTCGGGACACTTGTTGAAAATGGCTCTCAATGTCCCTAAGGTCCAGTGGCTCAGGCTGATGGGAGTTTCCACTCTGACTCCCTCCTTTCCTCCTCTCTCCCTCTTGGCAATTAAAATAGAGGGTAGAGTGCAGTTATAGCTAGACCAGTGCTAGACCTCCAAGCCTTCCCCCACTTTTATTGTTCAAGCGGCTTGAGAGGGCCACCAACTTCTACTGCTCCAAGAAGCCATTGAGGATCCTTTTTTCTGTCTTTCGTCTTCTTCCCTGGTTTCAGGAGTGCCTTCGCGCCCACCCATTATAAGAAGTCAAAATGTTATTCAACTCTCCTCATCAGGAAACGTCCATTAGCAGATAATAGTGGAGTCGGGGAACTCAGTCCAGCGAATGCCAGATAAGAAGTCACACCATTTAAAAAATGGTTTGATTCCTTACAATGGGAGTGAGGGGTGCTAGTGCACTCAGGCAATAATGGGGTTGTAGTGCTTATAGTGCCTGGAGTATTACTTTAAAATACAAAAATCAGCCCAGAACAAGGCGAATCTTAACCTTCAATATATTTTAGTGAATTTTAGTGAGTAATTTAATGAACTTTGCCACTCTCCAAGTATTACGATGACAATGGAGACCTAGTAATCCCTGATCAAACTTTATGAAAATGTAATAATTTTTATTTTGGAAATAAGCCATGTATGTATTCTGATCAACACTACACTTTCAGACTTGGATGTGAACCAAGACTTTTTTCACTAGCCTTCAGAGGACAAACTCATTCTATAAACCAACGCATTTCACATTTAGAGCCAAAGAGTCAATTAGCACTCAGATTTCTTCACTCCCCACAGTGCCAGCGAAGTTCGTCTTTCAGGGATTAGCTTTTTAAGCAGAAATTGTTACAGTCTCAGCAGCAGACCTTTCAAAATTCATAGAAATGTCAATGACTTCAAACAAACATAATTAATTATAAACGCAGAGAGCACTATGTTTTAATTCTAGCAAAACACCTTTCCTGCTGCAAATAATTCAAATAAAATGAATATGAATTGCGATCTTACACCCCCTGATTCTCGTGGATTCTTGATAAAAGCATTTATAACCAACAAAAGGTGTTTTACATGCATACTGTATACATTTATTTTACAAAATACTTTTTATATACTATTAATTTTATATATATTTACTTTTTTGGAGTCAGGCTCTCAACAGGTAGTTGATTTGGTACCCCAATTCCATTGTTAGACCTAGTAAACACCACTAGGAGGGTCAGATATTTAGTTACTACAGACACTGGCAGGAAATAAGAAAGTCCTGCAAGAGAAGTATTTGAGATGTGTCCCCTTGGGCCTATAGCATGAGAACTTGAATCAGTATTAAAAAAATCCAATCAATTACCTGAAAAATTATCTTTATGGTTATTCTGAGGTCCTATTTCAGAAATGTTGCTGAAATTAATATTGAAAGAAGAGTCATTTTCAGGGTTCCCTAAGTAAGCAGATGCATCTGTTGGGTCGAACTACGCTATAAGTCTATTCCAACAATGACCTTTGGTAATGACAGTTGTTGAGTTTTTATTCAGTAATATTCAAAAAAATGTTTTGATGAAGCAAACAGAAGGCCAGACTCTACTCATTTTCCTAGTAGATTGTCTTTTATGCAACTTTACTGAAATATCTTATTGAATGTTACTGAATAAAAACTCTGTCATTACCTGTCGAGGCACTCAGTAAATATAAAAAATATTTTTACAAAATAAAAATTGTTAAATAATTAAAAAACAAAAAATGTAACCCCTACCCTCCCTACCTCTCCCTCCCCCTTCCCATGTACTTACCGATTGCCGCCGTTCCCCCGCCGGCGATCAGTCTTCTTCTTAAGACAGTCCCCCCTCTCAAATTTAGGACCCCCAGGGGCCATGTGACTGCTCTGAAAGAGCAGTCACATGGCCGCCATAGATGTCCACAATGCTACCAGCAGGGGGACTGCCTGAACTAACAGGCAGTCCCCTTGCAGTGGAAAAAGTTTTTTAAAAAGTTTGAAAAAAGTTGAAAAAAATAAAAAAACATAGTTAAGAAATTATATGAGATATATCTTATTAATATATACTCTGCGGTGATCACAGTCGGGGGGGGGGGACTGCCGGAGACCCCAGCAGTTCCCCTGCAGTAACTCCGACCACCCTGGCGATGATCACATCGCCGCAATAGGAGTCTAGGAGCTGCCAGCAGGGGGACTGTCTGAGCTGTCAGACAGTCCCCCAGGCTGCTAAAAAGTAATAAAATAAAATAAATAAATATATCTGCTTTTTATAAAATAAATATATTATACATATATATGTGAAACATAAAATAATTAAAGCATTTTATAATATATTATACATATATAATGCATATATCTGATATCATTATATATCTCAAAATACACTTATAATGAAATCATATATATGCATTATATATGTATAATTTATTATAAAATGCTTTAATTCTAATATATTATACATATATATTTATCTACATTTATATTACACTGTGGCTGGGCACTCGGTATCATCTTGGCTGGAGGTAGGAGTGCAGAAGCTCTTTATTTTTTCCTATGTATTTATATATATAATATAAATTGTAAAAAAAAACATTTATAACAAACAAATAAAAACTCTATTTTTATACTCTGGAGACTTCGCTGAATACAAATATGAGTGTTTAAAACAGTAAAACTTATCACGATGATAAAATCACCAGTAAAAGTGCTGTTTATGTGTAAAAAAATGCAAAAAACTTATAAAAACGCTAACTTTGGCCAGCGTTTGTGACTAAGTGGCTTCTACAAAAGACTGGAAATACCCCATTTGAAATACCCTGGGTTGTCTACATTTCAAAATGGAATGCCATGATTGGGTCATTTCATATTCCTCGGCTACCATATGGTCTCAAAAGACAACACAGACCAGCAAACCAATCTGGCAAACTGAATTGGGCAAGCCCTATATTGACCCTGTACCTTTTCAAAACACCCTAAAATCTGTACATGGGGGGTATTGTTATACCCAGGAGACTTCGCTGAATACAAATATGATTGTTTAAAATAGTAAAACTTATCACGATGATAAAATCACCAGTTATTGTGCAGTTGTGTAAAAAAAATGCAAAAAACAAATAAAAAACGCTAACTTTGGCCAGCTTTTGTGACTACGTGGCTACTACAAAAGACTGGAAATACCCCATGTGTCAGACCACCTGGCACCCCGACCGGGTACCTCTGTCAATGGCTGCTTCCTAGTACTTGCGAGCACCATAAGCACTGTACTGGAACACCATAGCCACCATAGACCCCACGAACCACCGCAGCTTGGTTGGGGTCTCACCGTCCTACTCCCGCCCTGGACCCAAGACCAGGATCCAGTTTCCAGTGAGTAGACCTCTCCTAGTCCAGAAAGTGTAGCAGGAACAGCTTTTATAAGAGCTAGTGATTATACTCAGGGGAGTATAGTGATTATAGCAATCCACAGAGTGAATGTAGTTCTCAAATCCCCCAAACATTAGCTTAGACTTCATGAAGGGGTAAACG